TCATCATCATCATTACAGTGCAAGCCCAGGTGCACACACAGAGAGAGTCTCCAAGAACACACACACACACACAATGGAGTAGCAATAATAATAATTATAGGATAAACACATAGAGAGCAAAAAAACACAAAAAAAACACATTAACATTAAGAAACAAAAAAAAGAAGAATAGCCCAACAGGTGAATGATTAGTTAGACTGTAGTGTGGATGCAAGCAAAAAAAGAAAAAAAGAAAACAAAGGATGACCTGAGTCACACCATCACACCACCACCACTACAATCAGCACACAAGAATACAGGCCAGTGTAACCACAATCAGTAGTGGTACACGCACCCACACAGAACTGCTGATAATGCTGCTGCTGTCTGCATCACCCTTCTTGTTGTTTGTGAGTTCAGGAGGAAGTGTTGTTGTTGTTGTGGTGGTGGTGGTGGTTGAGGTTGATTCCTCATTAGCTGGGTTATTTGATGACGCACTTCCTTCAGTAGTACTACCATTCTCAACATTTGCATTATTATCACCGGTATTCTCTTGGGTTGAATTGGTGGGAGAAGGAGAAGGTTGTGCTTCGGTACCTTCCACTTCAGCTGCACTTTCATCTGTCGAACTTTTATCCCCGCTTTCCGTTTCAGGTTTACTTACAGGTACAGCAGGACTCTTATCGACAGGTTCAGGTGCAGCAGGGGAAGGAAAAGCTTCAGTTTCTTTTCCAGCCTGAGGACCCTGAGGTTGTTCACCGGGAGTACCAGCGGGACGTGCTTCAGCACTATCTTCACGTGCTACGTTAGAATCAGAATCCCCGGCCTCTGCAGGAACACCTGGACCAATGGAAGCTGAATGTTCGCTATTAGTGTTTACACGATGTTCTTCTGCTTCAGCAGGACCCACTTCCTGCATTGCCTTTGGTGGACAAGATGGCTTGGAATCATCAGGGCAACTGCCTTTGGTGTTAAGATCAACAGGCTTGCAACCATTCTTTTCAGTGGATCCCACACATTCAGCTGGAGGAACTTCGGGTTCACTACTGATACGAGGACACTCTGAACCAGTCGGTTCAGTTTTACATGCATCACCATCACCAGCAGGAATACCTCCAGCACCTACAGAAGGATGCGAATTCATTTGAGACAGTTCAGCAACATCACCCGGTTCTTGTTCTGCCTCACCTGCCACCACACATGCCACGCTTAACAGCACAACCATAAGATACAACAAACGTCGCACGAGTA